AAAAAAAAAAAGGAAATTTTGTTTCTTTCCACTTTTAGGAATAAAATACAATAGGTGTAAAAGGCAGTTTGAAAGAAGAGCGGAGAAACATGACGTGTTGGTTTTGCAGCAACTATTTGGTTTGTGTTGGTTACTTCACACGTAAATTGCCTTTTTCTCTTCTTCATGATATATTAAGCAACATTAGAGACTTAAGCAGTTTCCTTTGGAAGGCAGACATGGGAATTTGATCCTCATGCAGGCACTCCCGAGGACCGAGCTCAAGTCGAAGCAGCACGTCAAACTTATCATCAAAATCACAACCCTATCAAATGCGATGCTGAGTTGCTTTGGATAATTCAGGTTTGTTAAACCACTCATCGTTGGGTCAAGTGACAAAAGTTTAGTCCCTAAATTTTTTGAATTGCGTCTAACCTTAACATTAAAAATGGTCTAATAAGTCCATGAATTTTTATCCTTGTATTTAATAGGATCTTGAACTTTGAAGTGTCTAGTAGATCCTAAATTTTAAATTTTGTATATAAATTTTGAAAAAAATTCCAATGGCGTAGCCTTGTGTGTAATAGGTCATCTCTTACGTCTTTTCATTTTGCGGCTAACAAGTCCCTAATTTTTAGAGAGTACTATACATTAGGGCCTATTTAGACATAAGATTAAAAGTTTAGAGACCTAGACACTTTTTAAAGTCTAGAGTCCTATTAGATACAACTTAAAAAGTTTATGGACCTATTAAACTATTTTCAAAGTTTAAGAACATATTACATATAATCTTAAAAGTTATAGGGATCAAACTCGTAATTTAACTTATTAGTTATCAGTAATTTACTCTGATATGGTCTGTAATTTTTATATATTTTTTTTTTTGGAGATGCAGTTTCTAGGAGAGAAAAATTTCAAACAAATCATTCCAAAAGTAACAGTGGAGGAAGGAATAATGATAAAAGAATGAAACGGGCGACCATTGCATTGAGAAGAGCTGCACGTAGCCTTGCAAAGGAACCATGGCCACTCGCTTGCACAAAATTCTAGCCCTTTATTCTTTTTGCCTCCTCTGGTACACCTATTTCTATTTATTGTAACATTTATTTTATCTCACCATGTTACATCACATATAACTTCTTTTTTTTTTTTTTTTGAAAAAGGTATTTGCACGGTGCATTATAGGACATATTAACACTATATTGTCAGAAGAACATGGAAAGGAAATTCTTCCCTATACATTCTATCATCAGGTAAGAAAAGTTGTTAATTAGAGCTCATTTAGTAATGTTTTGTTCTTTGTTTGCTTGTTTTTTATTGTCAATTTTAAAGATATATAAACATTAATAACTATTTCGGTTTCTCCTTTCTCATTTTTAATAAACAAGTATCTAGCATGTGTGTTGCACGTTGTAATTTATTTATTTTTTTAATCTGTAATTTATTTTTTTTTAATCTAAGTGAATAGTTATTAAGGAAGTATCCAAAGTTTTTTCAATGAGTAATAGGCTAAAGAACAAGAAAACTTAATTAATAATCATATCACCGCATGTGATGGGATCAGAAATGTAATCTCATTTTTAAATTTTATTTTGAAATAATTAAATCAAAGAATTCAAACCATTCAGAAATTTTTTAGAACAAAAGGAAGCAGTATCAATTATATATACATATATATATAACCCAAGTATAGAAGAAATTCAGAAATATGTATACCAATAATTGATACCTATATTTTAATATTAATTATTTTGAAACATCTTTGTCTCTTATTATTGTTTAAAATCAAACTAATAATTATTTATCAAATACAATATAATATAATTGCTAGACAATACTATTTTGCAATTAGAAAAAAAAATTAGTGTATCATGCTCTTTTTAAGGAGAAGGGAAAAGAGGAAGAAAAACAAAAAGATTAATGCAAAAGTTTTGTGTATAGAAAAACAGACGAGAGAGCTCTCCATATAGTTGTAGAAGTCAAAACAAACCTATTTTAATAAATATTAACTATTTAATCTATTAGTATTTATGCTATCATCCTTTCCTTTTGCTCCTATTTAAATTGTTAAAAAAAGTTAATGTCATTTTTTGAAAAAAAAATCCCAAGATTATTAATATTGTCAATATTAAGAAAATAGTGTAAAAATTTCTGCAATAAATAAAATTTTTAACATATAAATATGATGAATGATATTCGCCTAGTTACCTTTTAGAATTTAGATAAAATTAATCTGAAAATTGGAATTGTAGGAGAGAAAAATAAAAACAATAATAATAAAAAAAGAAATACAAGAAAAAAGAAAGAAATGAACCACTAATTAAGATTTTGAAAATGAGTAGAAGAGACTTTAATAGTTGTAAGAAAGAAAATAGGTACCAAAACTCTTGAGATTCACAACTTTTAATATTCTATAATTAAACACTATTAAATAAATAATAATGAGAAATCTTTACCAATTCTAACCTTTTAAATGCAAAGCTAATTGAATGCCAATAGTATTTCAAAATACAAATTAAAAAGAAAATAAAAAAAACTGATTTTCAAAACTGGCCGATAAAGAACTCTAGAAGGGTAACTTATAAAAAGTGATAAAAAGGACCTATATGATATTTAATAAAAAGTGTGTAAAAAATTCTCCAATAAATATATATTTTTTTAATTTATAAATATGATGAATGATATTCGCTAATGAATTATGTGCATAGATATTTTACTTTCACCAATGTAGATAAAATTGCTCTAAAAATTAGAATGTGATCTACTGTACTAAAATAAAAAAAAAGTTATAAGAGAGAAAAGTAAAAACAATAATAATAATTAGAAGAAGAAAGAAAGAAACGATCTCAGATTGGTTTTAGAAATGAGTAGAAGAGAGTTATTTAATACTTGTAAGAAAGAAAAGAAGTTGCAAAACTCTTGAGATTCTACAACTTTTAATATTCTATAATTTAACACTATTAAAATAATGATGAGAAAAATTTTCATGTTATAATCTTTTAAATGTAAAACTAAGTGAATGCACGACTTTTAAAAGCCAAAATAAATTAAACATATTTATTTTTTCTTAATAGGATCAGGTGTTTAAAAAATAATTAAAAAGAAATCTAATGAATTTCAAAACTGGCCGGTAAATACGAGGGTAACTTATAAAAAGTGATAAAATGACATATATGGTATTTAATAAAAAGTGAAAAGTAATTTTGTAAAAAAAAACTAATGTCATTTTTATTAAAAAAAAACCAAGATTATTAATATTGTCTATATTTAAAAAAGGTGTACAAAATTTTCCAATAAATAAAATTTTTAATATATAAATATGAACAATGATATTCGCTAATAAATTATGTGCGTGTATATTTTTATTTTTTATCAATGTAGACAAAATTGCTATAAAAATTGGAATGTGATGTAGTGCACTAAAAAACATAGGAGAGAAAAGTAAAAACAATAATAATAAATAAATAAAAAGTAAAAGAAGAAGAAAGAAAAAAGTGGAACTCAAAAATTGGTTATGGAAATGAGTTGAAGATTATTTTATAGTTATAAGAAAAAAGAAAAAAGTTGCAAAACTTTTGAGATTTGACCGTGTATAATTAAAAATAAGAGAGTTTTTCATATTAAAATATTTAAAATGTAAAATTAAGTGAGACGAAAATAGAATCTCAAAAGACAAATAAATTAAATCTATTTATTTTTTCTTAATAGTATGATTCAAGTGTTTCAAAAAAGAAACAAAATAAGAAAAACTAATGAATTTCATAAGCGGCCGGCGAAAACCTCAAGACCGTAACTTAATTAAAAAAAAGTGAGAAAAGGATATACATAAGTATTTAATAAAAAATACGGGGTAATTTTGTTTAAAAAAAGTTCGTCTGCATGCACTTCTGTATATATTGTAGATGTTTCTAAAATTGTATAGAAATTTTGAAACCAACCAAATCAGATTTTTTGTTTCTTAGTTCTTTTTTCCAAAACATAGATAAAAACATCTGTTTATCATTTTTTTGCCTAAAAAATATATTATAAATTAAAATATATATATATATATATATATATATATATATGTAACATAAAATTTTGAAAATTTAATTTGAAAAATTAATTTCATATAAATCCTTTACTTTTGTTTTCTAATTTTAAATTTTAGAGAACATTCATGAAAAAAAATGTTTACCATATATGTTTCTATTTTCTTTTTTCAATTAAAAGAAAATGATTAGAAACAAGAGATAATACCTTATTCACAATTATATTTTTTCTTGACTGAAAAAGAGAAAACGAGAAAGAAGAAAATAAAAACATTACCAAACGTAAATCGATTGAAAAAGAAAAAACACAGCTTTACAAACTTCCTACTTTTTTTTTCTCTCTAATCCACTTCTTTATTAAATTTTAGCAATATTGCCAATGAACTTATAAATAAATTCTAACGTTTCAGAATGAAGATGGTGGATGGGGATTGCACATTGTAGGAGAAAGTTGCATGCTTTGCATTGTTCTAAACTGTATTCTATTGTGTTTGCTTGGAGAGAACCCGATACGAACGCTTGAGGTAGAGCTCAAAAATGGATTCTAGATCACGGAGGTGCCTTTTACATACCTTCTTGGGGAAAGATTTAGCTTGCCGTGAGTATTCACTAGTAGTACACTACACTTGATTAGCATTATTATTATTATTGTTGTTGTGTAACTTTGTCTTTTTTTATAAATTGAATTTTATGAAAATTAATTATTGTATAGAGTATACGAGTGGGAAGGAGCAAATCCAATGTCCTATGAGAACATCAAATGGAATCCGACGCGACATTATCATGCAAAGGTATTTATTAAAAATTCAATTATGGAGCCTATTAATTAACTGAAAGAGGCCACTCCATTAAGGTAGCTCTCTCACTAGTTTAGGAGTACAAATAATTATGTTTTTTTTAAACATCAACATAATTGCTCTCCACCTTGATATACGAATCATATTACTCTAACCAACTTCTAATCTCACCCTATCTTCATAAAAATTACGACTTTCTTTGAAAGATTTTTGCATTTAATGCATTTTTTTTTCATATAAATGGTAGCTTTGCAGTTATGTCCTCTCGCTACAAGAATTTGATTTTTCCCAATGCCTTAAAATGTTGGAAAAATACCCAAAGAACTTTGAGAGTGATTTCTAATGATAAATATTTGCTGGCAAAAGCATCTACAAAAGTGCCTCAGAAGAGCATATTGACAACTTTTTTCTAGAAATGTTAGCAAGTCTATACATCTGTCGGCGTTTATAAAACGTTAACAGAGCGGCCCTCTACAAACAATGTTTTAAAACGTCGGCACATGTATAGTTCTCCCAACGTTTTCGTTTTAAAAACGTTGGTACGAAGAGCTTTCCATCTGCCAACAGTTTGAATATTACAAAAGTTAAGGAGGCTCAACCACTCATGTGAAGCTTTATTTTATTTCGACTATACATACGAATATAACAAATTAAATTAGATGTTGAAACAATGACAGACAATAAAAAGCGTATCGTATGGACGGTAGTTTTTGAAAATTTACTTGTGTAGTAGCTACAAGCAATATGTGTCATTGTGTCATACTTGAAAAAGAGTGTGTAGTGAGATAGGGTAGAAATTTGATCATAAAAACAGGGTTGGGGCAATATATTGTTGGGAAATAGGGAGAAGACGAAAAAATTAGTCTATCTATGAAGATTTTAGGATGAAAGAAACGTAGGAGAGAAGTTTACATTATTATTTCAATCTAACTACAGAAACCTAAAAAGCCTAATAAAAAAAAAAAAAGAAATGGGAAGTGTTAGGAAACGAGGAGTTCGGCACAAACCGAAATGTAGGTATCTCATTTTCTTGATATGTACCATAAATTAAGTGACTCAATCTTTACATGTGCCCTTAATTACCACACAAACTAAAAATAAAATTGAGTTTAGACAACCTAATCATTCCCAAAGTTACCATGGCAACGCCAAAGACTCAAATTATCGTAATCTTTGTCTTAATTAGTTTTTTCTATATTGCTGATCACACACTTTCGATAGTTTCAACAATGACGCAACAGTTTGTAGATTCAATCAATATGTCCAATCAGTACCACAATCATTTACAATTCATGTCTTGTTGCTACAAAATGGAGGGACCTCTGCACAAAATTGTTGGGAACTTCTTTTTCGTCGGGAACGATAAAACTAAAACAACCAAAATCTTAAATTTTCCTTTATAAAACATGCATCGAATCTATTCTAACAATCCAACCTAATGTTTAAATACTCACCACATATTTTTCAACTTAAAAGAAAAATGAATGGCTAAATATATGTGTACTAATGTTGTGTTTCTTTTTTTGCTTCAATTTTTTTCTATGAAGTCACCACTATAGATTAATTTACTTTAATGATATATTCCAGATTAGACATTTAAAAAACGATCTGAATAGAGTTTGGTTGGATGTAATAAACGGAAGGAATATATGAACTTTTAACGTGGAGAGTGAAGGAATATATGAACTTTTAACGTGGAGAGTGAATAAGCATGGGATTTGCTCGATGAGTAAGTTGAATCAAAACGCATACTTTTAAATCTCCATTAATATGATTAATGGTCTCGACCTTCTGGCTACTCTCACACTTGCTAGGCTAGGGTCAAACCACAGTACGAAGATAGTGGCAAGCGTGGGACATGCAATCAAAATGCAATTCGGGACCCAACCAGTTCTTCGTTGCAAAATAGCTCATACACAAACCCTATTAATGGAGATTGTGATGTGTTTCGATGTGGATGGTGTCACTCTTATTGATTGCGATCCTTCCAAATCTGATTGTGGTTACTCGTTCACATTTAAAAACTCATATGATGATGTATTAGATATAAGATTTATTTTTTTAAGTTCAACATGTAGGGCGGGAAGATTCAAACTCACAACCTTCTGATCATACATAAATGCCTTAATCCACTAAGATTTGCTCAAGTTGGCAATTGAAATAAGTTGTTGTTTACCATGATCGTTTCTATAAAATTATTGTAAAACATTATAGAAACCACCATGGTAAACAACAACTTATTCCAATTGCCAACTTGAACAAAGCTCAGCGGATTGAGGCATTTATGTATGATCAGAAAGTCGTGAGTTTGAATTCTCTTACCCTACATGTTCTTAAAAAAATTCTTATTTCTTATACATCATCATATGAGTTTTAAAATGTGAACGAGTAACCACAATCGAATTTGGAAGGATTGCAATCAATTAGAGTGAAACCATCCTCATCGAAACACATCACAATCTCCACTAATAGGGCTTGTGTATGAGCTATTTTGCAGCGAAGAAATGGTTTGGTCCCAAATTGCATTTTGACTGCGTGTCACATGCATGCCACTGTCTTCGTGTTATTATTTGGCCCTAGCCGAGCAAGTGTGAGGGTAGCAAGAAGGTGAAGACCATTAATCATATTAATGGAGATTTGAAAGTATGCGTTTTGATTGAACTTACTCACAGAGTAAATCACATGCATATTCCACTCTCCAAGCCAAAAGTTCATATTCCGTCCATTTATTACATCTGGCCAAACTCTATTCAGATCATTTTCTAAATGTGTAATCTAAACATGTTGTTAAAGTAAATTAATCAATGTTAGTGACTTAATTCAAAAAAATTGAAGGAAAAAAAAACTAGTTAAAGACAAATATTATGATAATTCGAGTCATTGATGTTGCCATGGTAAGTTAGGGAGTGATTAGGTTGTGCAAACTCAATTTATATTTACTTTGTGTGGTACTTAAGGGCACATAATATAAAGATTGAGTCACCTAATTTAGGGCACATATAAAGCAAATATACATACATTTAGGTTTTTGCCAACTCCTCCTTTCCTAACACTTCCCGTTTCTTTTTTTTTTATTAAGCTTTTTAGGTTTCTGGTAGTTAGATTGAAATAATACTGTAAACTCCTCTCTTTCCCATTTCCCAACAATATATTGCCCCAACCCTCTTTTTATGGTCAAATTTATATAATATCTCGCTACAGTCTCTTTCAAGTATGACACTGGCTACTACACAAGTAAATTTTCAAAACTACAATCCATAGGACGCGTTTTTTATTCTCTATCATTGTTTCAAGATCTAATTTGTTATAGTCGTATATGTATAATCCAAATAAAATAAATTTTCACATAAGGTGGTTCGAGCCTCCTCAAATTTGTAATATATATTAATAATTAAAACTTCGTGAAATAATCTCATTAGCTTAGTCGCCAACATGACTGCGTCTCACTGGCAACCTTTGTTTGATTTTTTATGTCAACATCTTTTAGCTATATTTTTTTTATATAACTCTGGATTCCTATATATCAATTTTTCAATAAAGGAAGAACTCAAAAATTCTATGATTCTATGTTTAAAATAATTATCTTTCTAAGTTTCATTCTTTTTTTTTGTTAACTTTTATATAGACTTTAATAATGCTTCTATTGGAAATTTAATAATAATTATGGAACCTTAATAAATGTCTCATAAATTTTCAATTATTACGACAATGAAGTATGAGAAATGAAATGACAATGCCAAAATAAATAAGAATAAAAATTGATATAAAATTAAAAAAGTATACCTTCGAAAAAATATCTTCGTATGCAATGTTAGCGTAAATAAGTTGAACCTTAGCCTCGTCCTTCGAGTTTTTTAATATATCATGAACAACTTAAATCATAAGTAAGAATGAGAGAGCTTCCCATTGTTTTCAAACTTCATGTTAAGGATCCCACATTGAAAAGAAAAGGGACCTTACAATGGTTTATAATAGACATGAGCTACTCCTCTCATTGCTAATTGGTTTTGAGATGGAACCCATGAATATTAATATGACATCCAAGTTTTGCTTATTCGAAATTGAGTAAACTACTCCATTTATTTATTGTTTTTAGAACTTGCATTACTATTTTGTTTATAGTTTGATTTATGCATATTTACCTCTCGTTTTTTGATTTATTGAATTATTATTGTTAATGGATATTTACGGTTCTCATTTTGAGATTTATGGATGACAAAAGAAGATCAAGTAAATAGTTTTTTGAACTATTCTTCGTGGATTTACTTGTGATTATTGGCTCCCACTTGGTGTTATGCATATTTAGCTAGATGCAAATATCTTTGAGGTAGTTTACCTCTCATTTATAGATTTATGGAACTATTTATATTTACATGCGTTGCATGTAATTATGACAAGATTTCTGACCTATTTACTTTTATTGTGAATGCAAATCTACCACCTCTCGCTTCTAGATTTATGGAATTTATCTTTTGTATATAGGCCTAATTACTTCAATGATATTTACCTCTCATTTTACTTGGATTTACTTATGATCATCCACTCTCAACCCTTGATGCATATTATTGTTGGTTTTATACCTAAGTACAAATATGACCGAAATAGTTGCACATATATATACACATTATGGTGAAAATTTGTACAAATACTAATAGTAAATATGCAAAAAGCCAATGTAAATATAAAACTAACAACGTAATATTTGATAAAGACGAAAATATAAGTGCAAATATCATCGAGGTATTAGACTCATATACATGTTGGTGAAAATTGTGACAATAATAAAAAGTCAATATCCAACAGGCAAATAAAAATATTTAAACTAAACTAAACATTATTTGGTAGAGATGAAAATTCAAGTGGAAATATAATTGAGGTAGTTAGCCATATATACACATTGATAAACAATGGTTTAAAATTAAAAATCGGTCAAGAGTAATCCAGAATTAATTTAACACTAAATTTGGTTTAACAATTAATTTAAGAGTAAAATCAAATTGTTTTGAAAAAGAATTCAAATTTAATTTATTACTAGAATAAATTAAACCATTCCATTTAAAATGAAACCTACAT